AGTTTACTGGCTCCATCCCCGCCTCTTTGACCTGTCTGTCTCCTCTCCACCTATCTGCTCCTTTTATCCATCTTCCATCCGCCTCCCCCTCTCTCCCTATTTATTTCAGAATCCCCTTCTCCTCCCCCACTTCTGAAGAAGGGTCCAGATCGGAAAAGTCAGCTTTCCTGCTCCTCTGATGATGCTTGGCCTGCTGTGTTCATCCAGCTCTACACGTTGTTATCACAAATATTGGATACTTTGTTTTAATAAAAAACATTGCAGCTTTCAATTAGATCTATTATTGTGAATTCTGGTAACATAATCTTCAGTAACTCCATTTGCCTCAATTGATTTGATTTCCAATATTCTTGCTTCTTGAGGTGAAGAATGTTAATGCTTTTAATATATTTTAATTTCCCTACTTTTGTATGTCAACAAGAACTACCCAAAGCTTGGGTCAGATAGAATGTGATGCCCTGTTGTCTTCAAATTACCCTAACCAGAATACTCTATTATTCCAAGTGAGATTGTCAGTTTAGTGGTGGTATAGGCAGTTTAGCGTTGCATATTTGCATACAGACCCAGTTGACTGCAACCAATGAAGAGATCACATCAGAATGAGCTGAATCTGTGCTAAACATTTTTCTAACCAACATTGAACCAAGTTTTCAAGCATTCAGTTCATCCTCAATTTATTATTTGATTATCTGACAGGTAACTAGAATACTTTAAGATTGTTGGAAGATCTTGATCATCCTCAGTTAATTTTATTCTAAGATGTTTCAGATATTTATTTTTCATTTTTCTTCAGTCTGCTGATTTTAGGGCAAAGAAGAAGCATTGCAAGCAACTTAAGTTGAAATTATCTCACATCAAGCAAATGGTCAGCAACTATGACAACCAAAGATCCTGAATGCCAAATTCTGAAGCTACTGTCAACTGTTTCGTGCAAAATTAAAACTGACCGTTCATTTGCTTACGGTGTGGCCATTTATTGTAACACATGAAATGTAATGCCAGTTTTATAGGCCAAAAGTAAACATAATCACATGATTTCAAATATTTTCCTGCCTTTCAAACACTTTCGTTTTATCGAGGCATGAGAGTTTTAAAACAGTTAGAACTTGATAAACCTCTGCTATAATTTGTTTTGTTGTAAAACATTTTAATGTGAGTTATAAATAGGGACAGAAGTTCCCCTTTTGCAACAGCTATTTGAAATGATTCCTGATACTTAGTTTTACTAAAACTCTGTACATTAGCTTAAATAGAACAAGTTACATTTAGATCAATGTTCATTTGTTATATACTGTACAATGATTATTTCTTTTTGTGAGGGTTTTGTCTTAATAATTAGGACTTGTTCTCTAACCAGGTATCTGATGCTATTTAAACACAAATAGCGTTAATATTGTAATTAAAAATGCTGAATTTGGGAAAGTGACATTATGCACCATAGACTTACCAATCAGTCAAACAATCTATTCATGTGAGTCATTGAAAGTTGAAACACAATTATGGTCCAATCTAATGTTGATGATCATGTGTAAAAATGCTTTAATTATATTTTAATACAGGATAACAAATAATTTTTGCAATTATTACGAGGCAATATTGATGTCATGGCTCCAGTGTTTTTGTCTTGGAAAATAGCCTACCTATTGTACCATATCCAGGGTAAATAACTGCAAGCAAATACAGCTGAAACTTGGATGCAAATTATTTTTTTATTGTTCAACAGATAAAATATTTTGTTTCTATAATAAATTCATTTTTTAATGTTTTCATTACAAGGAGTTTTACTGTATTTCAAGATAATTATGGTAAATTGCAAATTGTCTTAAAATGAGACCTCCGAATTTTTAAAAAGATTGCAAATGCTCTACTTACATAAGATATATTTTTAACTATTGCTAAAATGTTGGCAGCAATTTGCATTTTTCAACAATTGTATTTCTCTATAACCATTAAATAAATACAACGGTTTAATCATAACTTAAAGTTATAATGATTTTCAATGTTAATGCTTATGCAATCGCTAATGAAGCATCTTCATTAGTGCATGACAGTTTGCATTATATACCTAGAACCTTCAATTTTCTGACATCCAAGCTATTTTACAGTATGGAGCTAAATGCCAAGTAGTGGAAAGTTACAGGATCATGACAAATCTCCAGTCAAAGAATAATTTTGTGCAGTCTTGTAAAGGAGGAGAGGGCAACATAAAACCTCAGGGGTTTTAGGGAGGGAATTGAAATAAAGATGACTTATGTAACAAGTCAAAGTGAAAAAACCAGAGCATCTTCAACAAAAGAGATATTAATAGTTGGAGGAATTTGCAAAAGTGGATAAGAAATTTGAATTGAATGTACAGTGGTGTGCAGGGGTGGCAACTGGAGAGGAACACTTGAGGTCAGCACTTTATAATAGATGCAACATTGGACTTTGTGGATGAGTTGGGGATTTATAGAGGGTGGAACCTGGAAGCAGTTGAAGCCATGCTGCAAACAGTGAATGTTTTCAGCTGTGGTAGGCATTATGAAACTTGTGAAGCATTTGCTAATTTTTCTGTTTCCCAGTGCTGACGGTCACCAAACGCTTGGGACATATTATGTTCTCACATCCACTGAAAGGTAATGTCATCTGGCAGCTGCTGGCAAAGCCTTGAGTTTCCATATAAATTATGAACATGTTTTGAGAGAGGAAAGAAGCTGCGCATCACAGCTGTGCAACTCTCTTTGATATTTAAATCCAATTTTGATTTAGTTGAAATGACCTGGAGAGCAATGCAGGGTTTTCTCATCAGTGCCTACATGGCTACTACAGGTCCTGAAAAAAGGATCCTATTTAGTACATGATAGCTTTCAGAAGTTGGATAGAGTGTTCATGAGAGACCTGAATGTTACATTACACCACACAACTTTAAAGATACATTTTATTCCAGATTTTAAGCTGAATTTTCATTCTGCTTTAATTTTGCAAAACCACACATCAACACTGTTAACTTAATCACTGTCACAGAAGCAGAAAGACCCCTCAAATGTCTTGCCGTCCTCGCCAACTTAAAAGTCAAATGTCAGGCTTCTGTTCTTAAGAGTAATTCATGTTATTTGTATATAGGGAATCTGGAGAATTATCACTGTCACACAAAGATTATATTGTTAACAAGTAATTGAAAGTTCAATAAAGTCTGATACAGATGCGGCATGGGATACAGTTCTGATGATTGGCTAGAATATACTAATGCTGGAAATCACGATGTACTTGGCTGAACCTTTTCTATGCAAAGATATATTAAGGTTTTTGATTCATGATTTGTACACATCCCTCAGGAGCTGCATGATGCTGATGTTCACCATTAATTTCATGGTAGCAAGGCTCCAGGTAAGAAAATAACAAAAGATCTAAAACAAGATTTAAATAGATTGTGAGAGATAGTGGGAACTGCTGATGCTGGAGAATCTGAGATGACAAGGTGTAGAGCTGGATGAACACAGCAGGCCGAGCAGGAAAGCTGACGTTTCGGGTCTGGACCCTTCTTCAGGTCTACACCTTGTTATCTCTTTAAATAGATTGTGGTTGGGCAGTTGGTCAAGTATTATGTGGGAAAATTTGCATTTTGGAGGAAGACTAGAGAAACAGAATATTATACAAATGGACAAAGTTTGCAGAACTCTGATAAAGAGGGATCTGGGTATTCCAGCACATGAATCTCTCAAGGTTTGTATGCAAGTACAACAAATGATTTTAAAGGCAAATAGAATGTCTGCATTTATTGTCCAAGGAATAAGAGTGTAAAAATATGGATATGCTGCTACAGATGTACAGGACCTTGGTGAGATACTATCTGGAATACTGCATCGAATCTCCTTTCTTAAGAAAGAATATTAATGCATTAGAAACAGTTCAGAGAAAACTTATTCATGAAGAACTTCTCTTCCAAAGAAAGGTTGGTCCAACACGCACTACTGAGACTCAGCAATTCTCCATTCCTCTGGCACCACCCCTGTGTCAAGGAGTGACGGAAAGATTATGGCCATTGCATTCATAATTTTCTTCCTTCACAGTATCCTCAGATGCATCCCCTCTGTACCTCCTGACTTACATACTTTAAGCACAACCAACCTTTATAAACCAATAAATTTATAACTTCTAAAGCCCATCCGGTATCTCAACCAGCTCTGTTTTTAGTAACTTTTTGGCAGTATTATCTTCCTTAGTAACGAGATATGTGAACTACATGTTTAAATACTTCAGCAATGTCCTCTGCTCCAATGCATACATCCCTTTTTTGGTCTCAATCTGTCCACCGTTTTTACTACTCTTACTAAATGTGCCTATTAAGGAAAGTGGGATTTCCTTTTATGTTAGCTACCAGTCTTACATTGTGTCTTTGCTTTCGTTTTTTTTTTCACTTCCCCTCAACATTCTATATTCAGCTTCATCCTCAACTTGTATTATTAACTTAGTTTGTGTTATTAACACCTTTTTTCTAGTTCATATTGCTTGCTTGCTCTCTCTCTCTCTCTCTCTGTCTCTTTGAGGTCCGGGAAGATTTGGCTTTGATTGCCTTACTTTTCCCCCTCAATGTACACCTTGACTGTACCTGAATGATTTCTTCTTTAAAGGCAGCCCTTTACTCTGCTCTCATTTTGCCCGATGTTCTTTGTTCTTTGATTCCAATTTACCTAGGCTGTTCCCACCCTATCAAAATTGTCACCTCCAATTAATCTTTAGTTTTCTGAAGAAGGGTCTAGACCCGAAATGTCAGCTTTGCTGCTCCTCTGATGCTGCTTGGCCTGCTGTGTTCATCCAGCTCTACACCTTGTTACCTCAGATTCTCCAGCATCGGCAGTTCCTACTATCTCTGCTTGCCTATTGAGTCTTGATCCACTTCTCTCTCAAACCCCTAGTTCTAGAGTTTCCATCAACAGGAGAAACATCTTTTCTATGTCCACCTGGTCAAGTTTCCTCAGGATCTTATATGATTCCGTTAAGATGATATCTTTGTTCTTAGCTGACACAATTTGGAAATTGCTAAGATGATCAGAAAACATAAGCATGTGGTTTGTACTATACATCTAAATCATACTCTTGGATCTTCATAAGCAGACATTGTAGTCCTGTCAGCCCTTGTAAGTGGCTTTTGACATCTCCAATTGAATAGATAGGTATAGAACGATTGTATTCTCAAAACTACAGCAAGAAGTTCACATTCAATGTTAGAATATTTTGCCTGAGCTGTTGTAAGGATTTTAGAGCGAAATGCAAAATGGTTTGTCGTTGTCATCCTGTAATAAACATGCTCCGAAGCCTTTGTGGGATGGATCTACTTACAATGCAGTAAGCTTGGAGGGTTTATAATACTGATGTGCACAGTTGGATGATAAAGCATTTTTGAGCGATTGAAAAATATGTTGGTGATCTTCCTGCCAAATGTATGGTGTGTCTTTGTGGATAAGATCTCTTAAGGGAGAGACTTTGGCCACAAAGTTTGGAATATATGGAGATAAAAAATTGAAGAAACTTAAGACTTTTTTGTAAGTTATCTTCATCATGGTGTATGCATGTTCTATACATCTCCTACTTTGGTCGGGTCCTGTCTAATATTGTTTGAGTAGATTTTTCTGAAGAAATCGATTTGGCTCATGCTGATTTTTTTACTGTGGAAAATAAAACCATTGTTCCTTGCTTCATCCTAGTGATTTGTGCTGTATACTGACGGCTGTGATGTCATCTGCAAAGTGGAAACAACCTAATGAATTCTCAATAATGTGATCCATATGTTGGATGATGTCCTGGCTGAAGGATATTTCAAATATAATCTGAAGAAACAATACCTCCTGGAAGGTATTCTGAAAGTTCTAAGTTCCTGTGACTGTGAGGAAAGATGTGTGGACCAAGATCCATTCACAGTTTAGAGTTTGGAAAAATGGCTGGTGCTTCAGACCTTTGGACTAAACTCTTCCAGGCTCTGAACTTGTGAGGGCATTGCTTTAATGCAATCTTTAGTTGCATTCGGTTTAAACATACAAGTATAGTGCCATCTTTCTTCAAAACACAAATAATGGAATCGCACAATTCGGTATGATGTACCACTTTGTGATAATATTGTTTTATATGATGGGATCCAATTCCAGTTACAGCTAAAGTGAATGATGAACATACAAGGAGGATTAATGTTGTGTGGGGCACCATATTTCAGACGTAATACTGCATTGTCTTAAAACTGTTAATAGCATCAAACCCCTCTGGGTAGAGCTTAGTCAGGTCCTGGATAGACTCAATGTTGCAACCTTCAGCAGTCGATGTTGCAAGTCATACGGTCATAGTCATACAGCATGGAAACAACCCCTCCACCCCCAACTGGTCTGTGCTGACCAGGTTTCTTAAACTGAACTAGTCCTATTTGCCTGCGTTTGGCCCATATCCCTCTAAACCTTTCCTGTTCATGTACCCATCAAAATGCTTTTTAAATGTTGTAATTGTACCAGCCTCCACCACCTCCTCTGGCAGCTCATTCATGCACGCACTGCTCTCTGCGTGAAAAAAGTTGCCCCTCAGATCCCTTTTAAATCTTTCCCCTTTCGCCTTAAACTTCTGCCCTCTAATTTTGGACTTGCTTACCCTGGGGAAAACATCTTAGCTATGCCCCTCATGATTTTATAAATCTCCATAAGGTCATTCGCAGCCTCCTACACTCCAGGGAAAACGTCCCAGCTTATCCAGCCTCTCCCTATAACTAAAACCTTCCAGTCTCGGTAACACCCTTTTCACTCTTTCCAACATCCTTCCTACAGCAGGGCAATCAGATTTGTATGCAGTACTCCAAATATGGCCTTACCAATGTCTTGTACAGCTGTAAGCTGACGTCCCAACTGCTGTACTCAATGCTCTGACCAATGAAGACAAGCATGCCAAACGCCTTCTTCACCACCCTGTCTACCTGTGATGCCACTTTCAAAGAACTACGTACCTGCACACCCAGGTCTCTCTGTATGTCAG